ATATATATATGTATATATATATATATATATATATATATATATATATATATATATATATATATATATATATATATATTATATATAATATATATATATATATATATATATATATATATATATATAATATATATATATATATATATATATATATATATATATATATATGTGTGGTGTGTGTGTGTGTGTGTGTGTGTGTGTGTGTTGTGTGTGTGTGTGTGTGTTGTGTGTGTGTGTGTGTGTGTGTGTGTGTGTGTGTGTGTGTGTGTGTGTGTGTGTGTGGTGTGTGTTGTGTGTGTGTGTGTGTGTGTGTGTATGTATGTATGGATGTAAATGTAATGTCGTATATATATACAGTATGTATGGTTTTTTTCTTCTATGTGTGCATATGTAAGTGTGTGTGTGTGGTGTTTGTGTGTGTGTAAGTGTGTGTGCGTGTGGTCGTGTGTGTGTGTGTGTGTGTGTGCAGTGATTATTGATGATGATTGCATAGATGCATTATTTATTGCAACGCGTAATGAATCATTACGCATTAATGACTAATGGATTCCGCTTTCTAATTATGGGCGATATACTTACAGGCCCTCTGTCTATTTATTTTTGTCTCTCATCGCAGATCTATTTATTCGTCTATCATTTATTCATGCGTGTGTGAGAATTTCTATTGGCATCCGTTTTCATATTCATATGTGAATAAATTGCACATATATGAACGTATGCTTAAATAACATACGGACGAATATATATACAGTATATATGATGTGTGTGTGTGTGTTATATGTATATACATGTTGTATACATACACATATACATACATAATATATATATGTATATATTATACATATATACATTTGTATATATATATATTATATCATATATTATATATATACATATATATACATATATATATTATATATATATATATATATATATAATATATATATATATATATATATTACATATATATATATATATATTACATATATACATATACATATATATATATATATATATATATATATATATATATATATATATATATATATATATATATATATATATATATATATATATATATATATATATATATATATACAAGACACACATATTTACACAAGTCTGCAAACACAGCCAAAGCTTTCCCTGCGCGACGCCCTCTCACCCGGCCCGCTCTCCCCGCCAGTGCGTCACCATCAAAGGCCTGGGATTCCGGCGAGGCAGCTACCAGTGCCAGTGCAAGGACGGCTTCTACTTCCCCGACACGACAGCCTCCGTCAAGTACTTCAACGGGTCTCTCATTGAAGAGGAGTACGAGAAGAAAATGCTGGTAGGTCTTGGATCTTTTTTGACGAATATATTTCATTTATTTATTTATTTATTATTTTGTTTTATCCTTGTCTGTCTTATTTATATTTCCTGTTATCTTTTATCGTTTTTAATCTTTTTCCTGTTTTTTCTTTTCTTTCTATTGTGTCGTTTCTTTTTTTTAATCTCTCATATATTTTTATTTATGTATTCTTTTCTCATACTAGGTAGTTCTAGACACACACACACACACACACACACGCAACACACCACACCACACAACACAACCACACACACAAACACACACCACACACACACACACACACACACACACAACACACACACACACACACATAAATATACTAATATATATATATAATATATAATATATATATTTTATATATAATATACTATAATATATACAATATATATATATATTATATAATATATATATATATATATTATATATATATATGTATATATATATATATATCCTTTTTAAAAAATCATACACTGTTATGTTCATCTCCCTCTCCATTTCTCACCAAGATCATTCCAAACTCCTTATAAACTCACAGATTCAATTTTCCTTTCCTCATTTTGAAATAAACACGAATAGATGTCATGAAAATTAAATCACGTATGGCAAGATGTGAAATTGCATGCTCTCTCTTGCAAGCATAAACGCGGAATGGTTTTCATTGAGACGCCCGTGCAACTTTCATATCCTCACGTACCCGCGTGCAACAATGAAGAGAGAATGATTTTTAGATGCGAGCAGTGCAGCATGCAGCATGAGGCGAGGATTCTATTCTTTGTTAAACTGTCTTTATCTGTGTGTTTTGATTTTGACTTTTGTTCCATCTATTGTCGTTTTATGATCTGTTATGTACTTTACTATTCATTATTTAATAATTGTCATCATTAATTATTACTTATCATCATTATTTATCATCATTCATAACTTTTTTATCATTATCATTATCTTATATTCATTTTTATCAATATCCTTATTATATATCATTATATATTTCATTATCTGTTAGTTCTGCTTTCTTATCTTTATATGATTTTTATTTTTTTATTTCTATTTATCATTATTGTTTAATTACCACGTTCTCGCTATTATATCATCTCGTTATTCGTTATCTTATAAGTTTCTAAATGCGAATATTTTATATTTTGTTCTAATGGTCAG